CAAGGAAAGTAGCCAGTTACGTATCTATAAGGAAAGGACCCTTGCAATCATTATAATAAAATTAACAGACCAGCAACAGACTGACAAGAAAAACACGCGATAGCAATTCTGCAGTCACTGAGTAACTAAAGGTTGCCTCTTGAGGAGGTCACATGCAGAGATCTGCTGAACAGTGCAACGCTACTCAGACCTTGTTCTTTCTGCTCTGCATTCCTTAACCAAGACAAGATAAAGTGTCATGAAAGATAATATTGCCAGGTCTAACATAAAACAGATCGACAAAAAATTAATGGCTTTGTTACTGAAAACATCAGAAAAATCTGTTACACTCGTGTTAGATTTGTACTCCAGCAGTGCAAATACTGTCAGAGATGTCTTATTCCATAACACCACGTAGCACTTGGAGATAAGAAGAGATGAAGTTAGCTTCTCACTCTGTACTTTGTTTGTCATCTTAGTTCTGGTTTTGTTTCAGGAAGTAACAAACACTGGTTGCACCTTATTATTTTTGTGCTGTATTACAGGAGCACAGAAAACCAACCTAGCCATTTTGGTGTCCTAAGCAGGTAACATTAAAGTGAAAAATCCAAATTTAGCAGAGAGCCTCGTTTTCCTTGCCTCACCTACAAGCACATAGAAATTCTAATTCAACCATTGTACTTTAGCTGGTGAGAACCACGATTTTTGTTTCCAGATTGAAGAAAAAACAAAATTAACCTGTACATACGCAAGTAACCAGCAGGGGGACAGAAAAGGAGAAAAGAAGAAAAAAACAGGACTTAAATGCTTAGAAAGCTTAGAAGAAGCTAGTATTTTGCACCGTACTAGCCATTCTTTGCCAATTTTCTCCAGTACTAGCCCTTGTTTTAGGCACCCTTACACTGTTGATCCTTTAAAATTGCTTTAAAATTGCTGAATAGTATTTTCACTGTTGAGTATAAGCGTAATTTGTACCCTTTTCCAACAAGTGACAGATTTTGCTCAGCGCAGTTTGTGCAATGCAGTGTAAATGCAGTTCTATAAAACATGCTTAAATGCTCCTTAGAACTAAGACATTGTGCAGTTTGAAGTTCGGAATCTTTTTAATCTTTTACAACTGGGCAATATACAGACTTCTAGTCATAAAACACTGAACTGTCTGAATTGCCCTCGTGAGACCTCACTTGGAGTATTGCGTCCAGTTCTGGAGCCCCCAACATAAGAAGGACATGGACCAGTTGGAGAGGGTCCAGAGGAGGGCCACGAAGATGATAAGAGGGCTGGAGCACCTTTCCTATGAGGACAGGCTGAAAGAGTTGGGGCTGTTCAGCCTGGAGAAGAGAAGGCTCCGGGGTGACCTTATAGCGGTCTTCCAGTACCTCAAGGGGGCCTACAGGAAAGATGGGGAGAGGCTGTTCAGGAGGGCCAGCTGTGATAGGACAAGGGGTAATGGTTTTAAAATAGAGGGAGGTAGATTCAGGTTGGATATTAGGAAAAAATTTTTTACCATGAAAGTTGTAGAACACTGGAACAGGTTGCCCAGAGAGGTGGTGGATGCTCCATCCCTGGAGACGTTCAAGGCCCGGTTGGATGAGGCCCTGAGCAACCTGATCTAGTTGGAGATATCCCTGTTCCTTGCAGGGGGGTTGGACTAGATGACCTTTGAAGGTCCCTTCCAGCCCTAACGATTCTATGATTCTATGATTCTATGCATTCAACAGAGGCTTTCTAGCTACAAGCATGTCGTGCATCCTGACCAATTTTCATACTTTCATTCCACTTATCTTTATGATTTTGATTGTACTGTACAAAAATGCTTTTAATCACACAAAAGAAGAACTCCCCGTAGCAACAAGGACCGATTTGTTTGTTTTTAGCGTATCTGATAGCAATGAGCTCAATGACACAGTGTTGCTCCATCTTTGCTGGCAGGGGAGATTCTGCCCCACCTAATTTCAGCGGTGTTGGGCTTCCACCCTGTTGTTGGAACTTCCAACATCAATCTAAGCCAGCATTACATAACCCCCCCAAAACTGAAAAACTTCCCCCCACAAACCCACACCAAAGTGGAGGGCGGGGAAGAGAGAAAGAAAATCAGTCCTTGCCCCTTCCTATTGCTTTCTGTTTGCCAGAGAGGGGCAACTTCCTTCATCTGAAGTGTCAGCTCCTGTCACGTTAAACAGACTCAGTGTCAGTGAATTCAACGTTATTTCAAGTTAGTCTCTCTAAGGGGTTACTACTCACACAATACAGTTCTGCTTTAGTTGTCTAAACAACTTTATCTGTTTTCAATGAACAAAATTCGAGTTTTGTGTTCTGTTTAAAGTTCTCAGAGACCACAAACATAATAGAACAGCTTCCAAACACAAAGTGAAGCAATAAATGGTTACATGCAAGATTTAGATATATTCTTACTATGTTCTGAAGAGTAACTTTGGAAAGATTTTATTTGGACAGCTTCATCTCCAACAATATACTCAGTACAGAACTCTGTGACAGACTATCCCAGGTGAAGAAATACACAAAGAGAGCAGAACAAGAGTAGTGCTACAGTAATTTACAAATTCGCCAGCTAAGATTATGCAATAACACATTTAACTTGTCAAGGACCAGTTTCCTAAAGGCTGGAAAAATCTAGACCAATTTTTTTTTTTTTTAATAAATGCCCTCCAAGATGTAGCAGCAAAAAATAAATTAGCATAGGTTCACAGAACATGCTATCCTCAATAGGCAAAACTAGCACATCACAGCTCTCTCTCTCCTTCCTCCCCCAGTTTTCCCAAACACCTGAAAGTGTTTTGAAATATCTGTCCCCCATGCCCAAATAAAAACAAAATAAAGCTATGGGGAAACCAAAACAAAGCATTTTTTAGAAGTGAGTCAGCTCCCACTGATCATCAACCAGAATATTAGTTATTTCAAGATTTACTTGCTATAAGGCTGAGCTCAGTGCCCAGCATTGTGGCAATTTACTACATAAGATGCACGATGCCCAGGAAGCCTGGCACTGCTAGAGAGGGTGGTGAGCCTGCTGCCCTGAGAATTAGGTAACCTAAGAAGCAAACCGGTCTGGGTGTTGGGAAGCCTTAAATCTTGAAACTCCAGGAAGTCAGGATACCAACTTTTCCGCAGTCACCGAGAAAGACAGAGGATCCAATGGATCCTGAGCAAGGATTTCCTGGGAACCCACCGGGAGGAAACAAAGTGACTGGGGAGGATCTGAACACTGATGTGAGCCATAGTTTTAAATGGCTCCTTGGGGTACAGGACACTTTGAAAGCCTCATGTTTCTCCATTTTCAAAAGGAATATTGCAAGTTTTGAAGATTAGCCATGTTTAAACCTTCTGCTTTTTTATTTTAGTCTTAATTCAGGACATTTCTCCCATTTTGTCTATACAAACCATACATGCAAAAGTAAATTTGTTAAAGAACAAGTGACTAAGAAAATATATATTGAGAACTACAATAAAGAACAAAATTAAAATGTTATCTTGGGCTGTAAGTAAAACTATTAAATGAAAATAGCAGTCAAAATAATAACAAGTGTTCCAAATGCTTGCAATATTTGGACCAGCTATTGTAACAGCAACCTTCAGTTTTTCAAGGCTGTTTTTAACATCAGTAAACAAACTAATTATGCTTCAAAGCAAACTTGTGAAAAAGCCTCAATACACTTTAGTCTTTAAATTAGTCTATTTTTTTTTAAAGGTATGGTTGTATTACCTGAATTTCTCTCTTGCATTTTGAGCTGAAATAGATTTCAAGAAACCACCCGACAGTAAGCGACTGAAATCCATACAATTTTTACAACTCGGACTGAGCTTGCCATGCACAGGTAGAAGCCTTAGAAAGGTCACCACACTGTAAAAACTTATTTAAATTGCATCAGTAAGAGACAATCAACCTTAAATTATTGCACTACAATACAAATTCAGATCTGAGTCACTGTTTTATAGTATGTACTGGTAGGTGCATGTGGATTTTGTTTTCAAGGCTCCGTGAAGTAGTACTGAACACTTAATTTTTTTAAAGGGGGTGAACTGAGTGCAGAAAAGTTAGCTTGTGAGCCTTTTAAAACAGTAGAGTACCAGAAACCTTTAAAATGCTAACCACTACCCCTACCAGAAAAGGTAGGTTACCTTTTCCATGCTGAGCTAACAGCTATTAAAATAGCCAGCCTGCCATCCTTTAACACATTAATCACCTATTTAATGAAAGTTCCCTAGAGTTGGCTTCTGAAAAGAAATAATGCAAAAATGTTTAGAGACTTCACAAAAAGCAATTTTTTTCATTAGTATCTAGTCCATCTTCATACCAAGCAGTTGTTGTGTTTAATATCAGAAGGCTAGTGGAAGACAGGCCTTTTAAATTGTTTAACTCAATTTTTCCATTTTCCAATGATTAATTTGCTGCAGCAGCAGGTCACCTTCTTTTAATAAAGTATACGTTCGCAAAAGAACAGAAGAGTTAATTGTTCTTATTTCAAACAATGGTAATGAGCTTTTCAATGGATACCTCCAGGGATAAACAGCTGCATGGCCTAACTACTCGAATTCCAACAACATTAAATTCAGACTAAAATCCTAAAGTTTAGGTTAATCAGCAACAGACCTTCCTCCATCTTTTCTTTGTTCTAAAAAGGACAGCAAAGAATTGGAAAATCTGACATTTCCATCATCTTGGGTCATTCTCCATGCATCACTTTTCAAATTCTACCAAGTATTTGGGGTGTATTTGTGACAGAGCTTCTGCCAAAGCTGAGCTCATCAATCAAGTTTGAGATGTTCAGCTACGTACACCAAAGAACAAAGCACGAGCCTGGGATTGGGGTAAAGGAAGATGAACCAAATTGAAGACAAACAGCAAGAGCCAGGCTTTCAGTGCTAAAGGTCCCACAGAGTTCTCCCTTCTTCTCCCCATGGCAAGGAAAACATATTGCTAAGTATCAAAAGGTATTAGAAATAGACTTTAAAAAAACAAAACAAAACACAACACAAGACTCTCTTGAAAAATGCCTTACCCTCCTTGTGTTTTCCACAACTTTTTGATCTGGCTTTCCATAATTTGGTGGATTGGCATACGGATCATAGCCCAGTTTGGCTAGCATGGGTGCAATCACTGGCATATCTTGCAGAACATCAGCAGGTATCTTCCCAACCCACTTTGACAATGCTTCTACATTGACTGGCTTGATTACTTGGTCAGTAGATCTTTCGACTCTGTGGAGGGAGAAAGAAAGGTTACATTTTGCATTCCAACCCATACTTGGTTCTTCACTAACATTAAGACCTTTAGCCTGTTTTGTTTATTATTTTTTTTCCCTTCCTCTTCTTTCCCTCTCAAAATTTCATGTTTCTACACGGCTGATGGGAAGCGAAGTTTTACTATGTAAGGCTAAAATGAGAACAGCACAACATTCATGCATGCTTTCTGGTTTAGGCTTTCACAGAGAATGTACTCAAGCAAGTTCTTTACTTAAAGACAGCAGTGAAAGCCAAAGAGCTGCTAAGTGAAAACTGTGCACACACCTACATAGAAAAGCTGCTTGCCCACTGGCATATTCCCACATTTGCTGTTTCATTGCCTAAAACGTTCTTGAAAGTTGTATTCTAAATTAAAATCCATGTGCCATTTCTTCATCCCTGTGCCTCCCCCATAGTGTGACTAATCTTTTTTTTTTTTTTTTTTTAAATAAGACACCCCTATGGGAATGACAAAGATATAGACTGCAATAATATTTTTCAAAGCCATTCCTTCTACTGATAGTGTTGGGTCATTACACAGTTCTTAAAGGCAAGTGCATAATCGTAGCAGTGTCATACGTACGGTATTTAGAAAATAGTTTATTCATTGCTCATTTCATCAACAGCACTGAAGTAATTTTTATTCTTGCACCTCAGTTTTGTTGCTTTTGGTGTTTTGGTTTTTTTCCAAAGGAAGAAATCTGGCATCACTTTGTTTTCCCACATTCCTTGCTTCTTTCAGGTTAGAAGTCATACAACTTCTTTACTTGTTTTCTGGAACAGTTCA